AAAAAATAAAACACAAATTATAATGGCATATATGTAAAACTTTGTCCTATAATTGTATAGCTGCTTATATTTTCTGATTTTTATGTTGCTCTGTTCTGAATACCTTAAAATTTAAAGGATTTGCTGCAATGCAATTTTGTCTGATATGTGAATTATTTATTAGCCTATTTTTTAATCCATGCAGCAAATGCTTTAAAAAATTACTTTATTGCATTCCAGATGCTTTTAAAGTACTTTTCACTATACATTTTACAGGTAGCTTGAATGTAAAACATTGTCATGAATTCGTTGTATTGCCATTTGTAAAATAGCCTACAAATTAATTGTTGTAGGCTAACCCGATCTCATGAAAATGCTTTAAAAAATTACTTTATTGCATTCCAGATGCTTTTAAAGTACTTTTCACTATACATTTTACAGGTAGCTTGAATGTAAAACATTGTCATGAATTCGTTGTATTGCCATTTGTAAAATAGCCTACAAATTAATTGTTGTAGGCTAACCCGATCTCATGAAAATGCATATAGCACGATTTTCTGCTTCTATTTGGTGTAATATTTATATGCAGAAATTGACTTTGGCATGCAAAAGACTGATCAATTCATAATTAATGGCATGGCTGGTTCAGTCGACAGAAATACGGGACACACAGGCCTATAATAACTGCTGAAATGTTTGCGGGGCAAATCTCAGGTCAGTCTGAGCGCTCATGGTACTCACAGCCGTACACCTGCAGGCGCCACTGCACACTGCCAACATTTCAGTTCAAACAACTTGTAAATATGTAGGCCTATGTCGCATCCAATGACCCCTTTAAGTAACATGAACAACTCTTAAAGGAAAAAATACATTACATCTAAAGTTTGGGATCAAATGACATCAAACACATTTATATTACAAAAGATTTATACTTCAAATTAATGTGGTTATGCGTATATTGGAGGAGGGCTGGTTGGTGTCGCTGATGATTTTATTACTAACCTGGCTGAACAGGTGTCATATTACTGTATTATTCATAAATGCCCAGCAGTTTTTTTTTTTTTACAGTGGCCAGTAGTGCGCAACACAACGAAATTAGCACAACACAATGGAAACCAGCCGCAAGTCAGTCTGAGCGCTCATGGTACTCACAGTGCCTACAGCCGTACACCTGCAGGCGCCACTGCACACTGCCAACACGCATTTCAGTTCAAACTACTTATAAAAATGTAGGCTATGTCGCATCCGATGACCCCTTTAAGTAACATGAACAACTCTTAAAGGGAAAAAATACATTACATCTAAAGATTGGGATCAAATGACATCAAATACATTTATATTACAAAAGATTTATACTTCAAATTGTGTGGTTATTTTAAACTTTCTTGAAGGGATAGTACACCCAAAAATGAAAATTGTGTCATTAATTACTCACCATCATGTCGGCTTCGGAACACAAATTAAAATATTTTTGATGCATTCTGAGAGCTCTCTGACCCTCCCATAGACAGCATGGATCCTAACACGATCAAGGCTCAGAAACATAACAAGGAGATCTTAAAATGATCTATGTGACATCAGTGTTTCAACTGTAATTTTACAAAGTTACGACAATACTTTGCCATTTTGGAGAGTATCACATAAACAATCCGCATACATACCTTGTTTAAGTAGGCTATGTGATACTCTCCAAAATGGCACTACGCGGCGACGCAGCGGAGACGAATTGTTGAATGAAGTCCTTATTTTTGTTTTCTTTGTGCACAAAAAGTTATCTTGTAGCTTCCTAAAATAATGGTTGAACCACTGCTGTCACATGGATTATTTTAACGACCTCCTTGCTACGTTTCTGAGCCTTGATCGTGTTACGAAGAGAGCTCTCGGAATTCATCAAAAATATCTTAATTTGTGTTCCGAAGATGAATGAAGGTCTTACAGGTTTGGAACGACATGAGAGTGAGTAGGCTAATTAATGACAGAATTTTCATTTTTCTGTGGCCTATCCCTTTAAAGCATTGTTCCACAACAATATTAAGCAGCACTTTTTTTCAATATTGATAACATTTTTAAAGCTGCAGTATGTAACTTGCTTCTCTATCACCATTTCTGTTGCTTGCGGATTGATTGATTGATTGATTGATTGCATGTATGGCACTGCTGCGTGGATGAATATGTGATGGCGACATCGGATCTCTTGGATCTTGGATAGCTACCTGAATCAAGCAAACAAGTGCTCTAATGATGGTTAGCTATTGAGCCACTGAAATGTCTTACCTGTTCAGCAGGGAAAAAGGCGTCTCTACATCAGTCTTTTAACCCTTCAGATTTTGCCAGTTGTCGCCATTTCTCGAAAGCCATGCCGATATTTACTCTGGTATTAGCACAGACTTCTGTCGCTGTCTTTTGCAGACTCTCCACAGTTTGAGGTGATTCCGCCTTTGTCAACGATGATTGGCACTTAACTTTACAGATTTAAAGCATCGGGATGACACGTTTAAATTCTAAGCAATTCATTTCCAGAGGCGGACAGTAGTGAAGTATTTTTACTTTACTCAAGTAAATTAAAAAAGTATCTGTAGTTTATCAGTGTTTTTCTTTGGAAAACTTTTACTTCTACATTCCAAAGCATTTTTACTGCACTACATTTCATAAAAAGTTGTTTGTTTTACCTTATATAAAAAATGTAGTACTTTCTTGTACTCAAGTAAAACTTTGAATTACTTTTACTTGAGTAAACGTAAGAAAGTAATATATTTCTAATGCAATTAAGTATTAAATATTTAATATGAAACGTAGTGCAGTAAAAAGTACAATCATATGCTTTGGAATGTTGTGAAGTAAAATTTTCTAAAGAAAAACACTGATAAAGTACAGACACTTGAAAAGTACTTTTACAGCAGAGGAAAAATACTTCACTACTGTCCGCTTCTGTTCATTTCTGAGAACACGCTACAAAGCTCCTCGAAACAGGCCCAATAGTCGCCGGGTCATATTTGCATCAATTTCCCAAAAAATCGGACCCTAAATTCTAAATCATTCTAAATCATTATTCGAGGAAATAATCGAGGAAAGAAGACAGCTTTGAACAGAACACAGTTTTGTCTTATGTATGTGCCAATAACCGATGTTTGTTCATTTAACTAAACGTTACATATTTGGAATGTTGTGAAGTAAAATTTTCTAAAGAAAAACACTGATAAAGTACAGACACTTGAAAAGTACTTTTACAGCAGAGGAAAAATACTTCACTACTGTCCGCTTCTGTTCATTTCTGAGAACACGCTACAAAGCTCCTCGAAACAGGCCCAATAGTCGCCGGGTCATATTTGCATCAATTTCCCAAAAAATCGGACCCTAAATTCTAAATCATTCTAAATCATTATTATAACATTATCATTGCGAATCGAGGAAAGAAGACAGCTTTGAACAGAACACAGTTTTGTCTTATGTATGTGCCAATAACCAATGTTTGTTCATTTAACTAAACGTTACATATTGCAGTTTAAGTACCAAATCAACATAAGATAAAAATATTTTATTTAATATTATAATTAATGCTACATGTATGTGTGCTACAAATCATTTCTATTTCAAACAAATGCTGTTCTTTTGAACTTTCTAATCATCCTGAAAGTGCACATTTTGTGGAAATATTCAATTCCAATATTCAATCAACTAAAATATTAAGCAGCACAACTGTTTTCAACATTAATAACAAGAAATGTTTCATATTGTTATTGCCTTATATGTTTCACCAAATCAGCATATTAAAATGATTTCTGAAGCATCATGTGACACTGAAGACTGGAGTAATGACGCTGAAAATGCAGCTTTGCCATCAGTAATAAATATAATTTTAAATATAGCCTATTTAAAAAGAATACAGTACATTAAAATTCTAATAATATTTCACAATATTACCGTTTTACTGTAGTTTTGATCAAATAACTGCTGCCTTGGTATATATTATGTATTACATGCATACGCATTCATTTTTGGTGAATTATTTCTTTGTCACAGATGCATATACTGTATTCAGGGGTTTATGTAAAGTCCATTCAGTTTATTTTACTCAGTAAACATTGACATATCCACACAGGACAAAATTCTACTTAATGCCATAAAATAAAACATGGATTAAAAAACAACAACACACAATTACAAATAAGCGTACACACACAAACGGAAACCTGTGTAAATGCTTTAACACAACCAGAAAGACATTATGCAAGAAATGATTCCTGAAAAAGCCCAAAGGGAATTTCCATGTAATGTTCATAGCTGGCACAATTTGGAATATCATGGACTAAAACACAGTGTTTGACCAAATATCCCTTAGAAATCCCCTTAGAAAAGGGCGTTCCCTTTATAAAGACATTTTAAATGAAGAACAATGCACATTGCAATAAAACAAGAGGTTAATTCATATTAAAGTGCAACTAAACGCTGACTAGAATGAATTCATGTAAAGTCCATTCAGTTTATTTTACTCAGTAAACATTGACATATCCACACAGGACAAAATTCTACTTAATGCCATAAAATAAAACATGGATTAAAAAACAACAACACACAATTACAAATAAGCGTACACACACAAACGGAAACCTGTGTAAATGCTTTAACACAACCAGAAAGACATTATGCAAGAAATGATTCCTGAAAAAGCCCAAAGGGAATTTCCATGTAATGTTCATAGCTGGCACAATTTGGAATATCATGGACTAAAACACAGTGTTTGACCAAATATCCCTTAGAAATCCCCTTAGAAAAGGGCGTTCCCTTTATAAAGACATTTTAAATGAATTCATCATGTGCTTCTCCAACCTTTAGTCATGACATGATCATTTGTGTTGTTATTCTGGTTGAAACAGGTTTTTCTAGCACAATTAAACAAAACATCAACAGTCATTTACAGGTATTTTACTGTAGAGTAAATCTGAATTGATTGTCGCGCCGAATGCATTATTGTTTCGGTGCACACTTCTATCATCCACTATCAAGACCATTTGAACCTTTGAAACCCATTCAGTAGAGTTATTGGAAAAGGATTTTCCTGTGCAGGGAGAGAATAGACATTTTGTTCTGCTTTTAGACAAATGCAGTGTCGACATATAATGTAATTCAGTTATAAACATGTTGGATGGCTAGCAGGATGCTAATTTAATCAGCGTTCTAGCCAGAGTCTCAGTCTAGCAGAGTCTGAAGGCACTTCTTCTGCAGTGTGAGAAGATTCAGAATAACCGAACCTCTCGTCCAGTGTGTAGACACATTTCAGAAATGAATTTCATATAAAATAAGGGGGAAAAGATTAAATGGAATAGTTTGTCCAAAAATGTCAAACATTATTTTTCGTATTTCAAACCATGGGATGTGCTTCCCAAAGCAACTATAGTCGCAAGTTCCATCATTACCAATAGAGTTCAATGGAACTTGTGAACATACTTAGGCCTAGTAGTAAATGAATCATTCGGACTGTTTTTGTGAACTAGCTCAACTGATTCATTGAAAAGATCTGCGATTTGGTCATGATTTAAACGCACAGTATCAGCGAGCTAAAAGATTTCCATTGAATAACCACTTCAATTTGGGTCTGTTCATCACACAACACTACTGGAGTCATAATATTCAGAATCGAGTATTGTGGGCACTTTTATGATACATTTACAGTGCTTTTGATGGAAACGTGCATCCAGCAGTCTTCAAAATATCTTCTATTGTGTTCCACAGATGAAAGCAAGCCATACCAGTCATGGAAAGTGAACAGAATATCCATTTTTGGGTGAACTATCCCTTTAAAAGTATACGTTTTCCCCATGTCCCACACTGCACGCATCTACAGACAACATGGCTGCACATATTGAAACCAAAAGCAAATGACAAAAGTGCAAAACAAGCTCTTAATTTAAAAGTGCAGGGTGCTAAAACACAAACAGATAGACTATCTTGTTCGACAGAATCTAAGTGTGTGTCACGACGACTGACAAAAATGCAAGAAACTTGTGGTGTTAAGCGCTACAGCGCATTAATATTTACAGTAAATCTGAAAAATAACTGCAGAAAGTCCATTTGTCTTAAACTACACAAGGAAAATAAAGATTATGGTACAACTTTTTGGCATTTGTTTTTTTTTTGTTTGTTTTATACTTCGACGTACAAAAAGAGGCTCCTAGAGTTCTTAGTATACACACTGTTCTACAAATAATTATTAAGTCATACATATACATACATATATAGAGAGAGTTCATACTGTACATGTGTCTATTATGAGCTTCCTAAAGCTTTGGAATGTCCGTGAGTCGTGGCTTTCGTCCAGCCGTGACCGTGCAGTCAACGGAGCGGCGAGCTGCTGCAGTCCCTGTCGCAGCCGCTGGAGGCCGCCGTCGCTTGCTCCTGGTTCCGCTCGTCCTCCGTCTGCTCGGAAAGGAAGCTTTGAAACGTCTGCGCTCGTGGAATGAGCGTCATAGTCAAGCTCGTACCTTGAAAGAGCCAAAGAGATCATAACACGTGTTATCGAGATGGCACCGATTCCAAAAGACATTCGAGAAAAGATAATAAGTGGACGGCAAAACACATTCCTGCGCTTTTGAATGCATGCATTGATCGCCTTTGTGCATTAATATCACACCGTTCCTCAAACAAGACGGAAAAAAAAAAGATCTTGGCAACTCTCCACCTATCAGTGTTTGGCACGCTCGCAGGAGAGGAAGATGGCTTAACTCGATTTTCTAGAGGTGATTGTGTGATCAATTATGGATGAGAGGAGTAGAATATCCAGGGTGAGACGAGCATACTTGCTCTCCAAGTATGCGAAGCACACAAAACTTGTTTCTTACCAATCCCAAGCCCATATATATAGAGCACTGCCTCAAACAAATACAAGCTCACCGAGCGAATGACACAGACCTTATTTAGAATCCAACCGAGCCGCTTCTGAGAAACGTACAGGTATTGCATGGAAGACTGTAACTTGTTACAGGTGGGTGGGTTAGTTTGGGTGAAATGTTTCTTTTTTGAAAAACCAATGTATTTTGGTGCATGCTGAATCCTGCGCCAGCTCTGTCCCCAATTCGCATACGATCCGTCCTAAATAATAATTAGTGCGTCCCAAATCATAGCGTTTTGAGAATAGTATGCCAAAGGTGCATACTATTTCCAGTATATTTATGCTTTTCAGATATCACTACACAATGTCTTGTAAACGCTCTCATTTTATCTATTAATAATATATAATCATTTTATCTATTAGTAAATGAATGTTATAGATCTTACTGTGAACAATTCATCCACTGATAGGCCTACGTTTTATATTTTAATTTAACTTTATATTTAATTTAATTTTTAACCTCATGATTTATCAAAATGTCATAAACTTCCAATTCATCAGTGCCATATTTCTCCTATCACTTTGTCTGTTTAAAAACAAAACAGTTTATTGCACCTTAGGCCATTTTTTTTTTTTTGAGTATCGTAATTGATACACGAGGGTTTCACGGCATATATGGAGCTCACAATTGAGAAGGAAAAAATATACAGAATTTTATTACATTTTATTTAGAGGCCTAAACTGAGCAATAACATGCTGATATTTATATGGCCAAAAGATAAGATTAAATGCTAATGTCTTCTGTTTAAATCAATGAGATCTTTATAAGCAGACTACTTACATAAAATGCATATAAATATCAGTTGTCACACTATATCTCCCAACAATGTCTTACAATGACATTTAAATGCTTGTTGTATGATCAACGCTTTATCATTTTATTTTATGTATTATTATTAATAAAAAAATTTTTTTAAAGTCTCCAACAACATACCCTACATATCTGTTATGCTGAGAGGTATGGCTCAATATGGAAACAAAGATCTGCTGCTACTTCCATTTGATCACATCTTTAAATGTACGGTATGCACTTAGAAGTGGTAGTGTGTCCCAATAGTTAATGCGACAGCATCTACTTGCCAACCACTAGAGTACAGTTCTGTATACACATTCAGTGTGTAATATAAGCAGTCAATCACACTATGCTTTGTGCCAATTCACAGTGCAAAAAAAGATGCACGAGAGTGGCACAAGTTTCATTTTTATACGTGTACTATTGCTAGAACATTTAGTTTGTGTTTATAACTTACTGGAATGCAGTACTGACTACTAAGAGTTTGTTAATATACAAAGCAGATATTCAGCAGATATGTTAATTTACGTGCTGATACAGATATCTGAGTGATTCAGGTATTGATTTTATGTATATTCTATTTAATTTCTGAGACCTTGACCTTACTTGTCCACACATAACGCTTTGCTTAGCAGTCATTAAAACATCACCGACAGGACTTGAGCCTAAAGTGTCTGCATCTTTAATTGTGTGAACTAGTGACGATCAAATAGAGTTGAGTTCCAACCCTCCTCATCCGAAAGTCCGATCGCCCTTGTGTTTTCCTGAACATTCCAGGCAACTTGGAGGAGGGTTGAATGTGGCAGAACTGAGCGCTCCTGCTCTGCTACATGATTCTGGCGGCACAGAAGGTGTCCTCTCATCCAGATGTCACACTTTTGATGTAAGCGGATTTGTGGGAGCCTGTATGAACCCAAGGGCAGTCGGAGCGCCACTTGTCCTGCATGCTTGGTAAACATGTTATGCCTCTGTGGCCCCAGCGACCTGCCAACAGACACCATCCACATGTGTGTTTCCATCACCTTAGGAAATTGCAGTCAGGGTACCGCGCCGCAGATGATCTGAGCTGGCAGTGAGCTCTACAGGATGGAGGAAATGAAGCAACGGCCAGATAAACAGCACACACACATGGACACTCTCACAATATTTGCAATGTCTGGAGCCTACAAGCTGTGTCACTTTCTTATAACAAAGGCAATACAGTGTACCTGCGCAGCCAGGAAACTGTATCTTTATCAAATACTGAGAGTCAAACTATAATGAAAAAGAAGCTCATAGCCCAAGTTGCTTGAAGTCCAGTGTTAAGTTTCCACAGTCTGTGATGATTTGGGGTGCAATGTCATCTGCTGGTGTTGGTCCATTGTGTTTTTTGAAAACCAACGTCACTGCACCCGTTTACCAAGAAATTTTGGAGCACTTCATGCTTCCTTCACACTGCCAAAAGCACCAAAAGTTGGTTCAATGACCATGGTGTTGGTGTGCTTGACTGGCCAGCAAACTGGCCTGACCTGAACAATGCAGATGAGCTTAAGGCCACGGTCAAAGAAACCTGGGCTTCCATTACACCTCAGCAGTGCCACAAACTGATCACCTCCATGCCACGCCGCACTGATGCAGTAATTCATGCAAAAGGAGCCCCTACCAAGTATTGAGTACATGTACAGTAAATGAACATACTTTCCAGAAGGCCAACAATTCACTAAAAAATGTTTTTTATTGGTCTTATGAAGTATTCTAATTTGTTGAGATAGTGAATTGGTGGGTTTTTGTTAAATGTGAGCCAAAATCATCACAATTAAAAGAACCAAAGACTTAACCTACTTCAGTCTGTGTGCATTGAATTTATTTAATACACGAGTTTCACAATTAGAGTTGAACTACTGAAATAAATGAACTTTTCCACGACATTCTAATTTATTGAGATGCACCTGTATATTTCTTGTTTAAGTTGTACTAAAATTACTACAACTAAAATAAAAGTAAATTAAAACAACTAATTATAAATATTCATAAATACTATAATAGCACTGCAAAGACAATTTGTTAAACATCAAACACTGAATGAGAAAGTAAAAAGACAAATATATAAACAAAATATTTAAGTTCAATTAAATAATATAAATATAAATGATAAATTACTATTGAACAACAAATTAAAAAAAACAATAAAAAAAAACAATTAAAAGATTGTCTTTGTATCTGATTTGTCCAATGAATATTTCTTATTCTTTACAAGTTTCTTTAAAAATTTGTTTTTTTTTCTTTTGTGATCTTCAATATATATATATATACAGTCAAACCAAAACTTATATAGTTTAGAAAATGGTTATAAAATATGACAAGAACTCAAGAGTTAAATTGTCAGAACAAATTCATCTTGATAGATAACTTTGATAGAAAAGTATGTAACAAAACATGGTCAGGTAAAAGTGTCAAATCAAATTTTTGGTCCCAAATTTTTTATAAATTTTACTGGTAGTCCACTGTAGGAAGAATCTTTGGGTATAATATGTCACAGTTTACTTCATTTTGCTATCCTCACTTACATAAATTAACTATAGTTTCCTGCACCCACTAGAAAAAAAATATAAAAAATTATATTATATATGTTGTGTGTATATATTATATATATATATATATATATATATATATATATATATATATATATATAAAATAAAAAATAAATGAAAATATTTAAAAATGAAAAAAAATAAACATAGAAACTAGTTAAAAATAGTCATGAATACTTTAATAGTATAATAATACTAAAATAATACTGCAAAGACACCTTGTTAAACATCAAACACTAAATGAGGAAGTAAAAAGACAATATCCTCTTATCTTTGTCATTAAAGGAGTAACATGCACAGAAAATGTGTATTGATTTATTTTCAAACACTGGCATCATGTTACATTTATTCAAACTAATAACATCGACAGAAGTACCGCTGTGTTCGACTCCCCAATTTTGACTGCAAACAGCCAGTTGGCCAACACCATCAGTTCCCACCACAGGGGCTTCAACTAACAACGACCAGAGAAGAAAACAAGTGACAACCTCTCGATTCTTCTTCATTAGTTCCTATGAAATGACAGAAGCCAAACAAGCTTTTCGTACCTCACTTGAAACAAGCCAGTCTTTAAAAAAAAAGAAAGAAAAAAAGTCATTATACTGCAGATCTGTTGCTCAAAGTTCTGGCCCGGTTTCAGTCGGGTAGGACAAAAAAAAGGAATTATCTGCCAGGATGGTAAACAAGCATATTTGTTGTGTGCAAGACAGCTCCTGCTGCGCCGGGGCTCTGGGTTACACCACAGCTGTCTCACACACACACACACATAAATGTGTACATACACTCGCACAAGAGGCTGCAGTACACTGATCTAACCTGGTGAGACACAGACGATTTGTCATTGGCTTGACATTAAAGCAAGGCGGTCACACCAGTCTGACTTAACACAGCAACTCTAGAAAAACTACAGTATAGTATTGTAAGAGTATTGTGCTTGCTTTAACCTGTTGTATATATTGTGTAAATTTCATTATTTTAATGCTTTGAAAAATTGTAATCCCTCACAAACATTCAAATATATTGTTCAGTCAGACTGACAGATAGATGTAGCTGAAAAACAGAAAGAAAAATATTTACAGTATGACATCTCTGCCATTGCATCATGGGCCGGTTGCATCAGCTCAGTCTAGCTGGCATAAATGGGCACTAAGTTGCAACCAACGCACCACTAACAATATGTGCATTATGCTGTTAAACTTAGTTACAACATATAAACAACATCACACATGA